CACCTCACTACAATATCACTCACTCTCTATTTTTCTCACATACTATTTTCTTATACCCTGTCTGTGAAACCTCACTCTTTCTTCCTACCTCTCAGATATATTTTTCCTTTGAGATTGGTGTCAAAATGAGAGCCGAATCTCTCCTTTTATAGGCAGAACCTTGCCTACTACACTTGACATTTTCTTTTTGCACGCTTACCACATTTGACACCGCCTACAATATTGACTATGTAAAAGAAAAAGTGGCTACCAATTTAGAAAAAGAAGACAAAGGAAGAAACTTGTCTTCTTTAATTTATGGGCTGGACCCCACAGAAATGATAATCTTAGAGCCATGGAGAAGTTACAACGGAAAGCAGCGGGGGAATTAGCAAAAAAAGTATCCATTGAGCAAGTGTACGCAAGTGTTGAACAGGACTTGCTAAGAGCTACGAATTGTTATTCTCCTAGTCATCAATGGAATATTGGCGACCGTGAATGGTGTCTGATATTGTTCCTCGATGGCTGCTTTATTATTGAATTCATCTCTAACGAAGAAATAAAAATCAGGGATATTTTGAGATATTAAACGATCCTTTTGGGATACCACTTTTGTGAAAAGTCTATAGTAGTTAGACATTTGTTTAAAGCTTTTAAGATTCAATGTTGAGCGAAGGAAGTTGTACTTGATATGGTTGGCTCTAACGTACTGAGGGGTATGGATTAATTATCTTCTTACCAAGCTTTCCTAAATTATTATGGAAAGAGTATTATGTTTTTTTGAACTTTAAAAGCCAATTTTGTCCGGGGGAGGGGGGGTTATAGGTTTTAGAGATGAGCAAAATATATATTTTGAATGATTTATGGTTATAAAAGAAATTGTTTGGGTCTCATAGATACAGGAAGGGGCACAAGAGAAGAAACATTTAGTTTGAGAAAAAAAATCATAATGAGAGATTCTCTAATATATTCCTAAGGATTTACTAGGACTACCTTCAATATGAGAAATAGATTTCGGTATTGATTGACACCTGACACGCAAACCATATTATATATGGCACTAACATAGTTGAGAGAGCTAAATGAATAATTGTGAGACCTACTGGATAAGGGTTTTATCATACTGAGATTCACCATGGGGTGCATCAATATTGAAAGAAGAAGAAAAAAGAAAGAGAGAGAATAGGTCCCTAAGAATGTGCATCAACTACAGATAATTCGATATCCGCCTCTAAAACTCGGTATATATATTAGGAGTTACTTGTGATACCTTTTGGACTGATTAATGCTCCATCTGCATTGATGTATATAATGGATATGGTGTTCTAGTTGTTTTTGGAAAAAAGAAAATAAAAATTCATAGTTTTTCTTACTATATTCTGATATATTTTTGTAGCCATGAAGAGCATGAGAATCAGTTGAAAAATACGTTCAAGTCTTTACAGGAAAATCAACTTTTTACCAAGTTCTTCAATTAGCTAGACTCGATGGTATTCATAGGACACATGGTATCTACGAATGAAAAAAATGGTAGATTCTAAGAAGATAGAAACAATTCATAAATGGTTGAGACTCATTTCTCCTACAAATTGCTTTTGGCTTGACATGCTACTATATGCATTGTGTAGGATTTCTCTAGAATAGTACCACCACTCACCAAGTTAACATAGAAAATCGCTAAATTTCAGTGGATGGAGGAATGTACAACGAGATTCCAGAAGCCCAAAGTATGTTTGACAATCACACAAATGTTAGCCTTATTCTAATAGGCTCTAGAGAATTCACGATGTTATGTGATACTTCGAGGGTAGGATTAGGATATTTTCTCGTGCAAAATGATCGAGTGATAGTCTATGCTTCAAGGAAATTGAAGAAGCTCAAGTCGTATTATGCCACTCATGATTTAAAGATGGTCATAGTAGTATTTCCTTTTAAGATTTAGAGACACTATTTATACGAAGAAACCTATGAGATTTATACCTAGCACAAGAGACTGAAGTACATTTAAAACCAATAGAGATATAAATATTTAGCAATGATGATGGAGGGAACTATTGAAGATATAATTGTACTGTTTTGTATTGTTAGGAAAGATAAATATTATAGCTTATGCCCAAAAAAAAAACTATGGGTGATTTGGCGCATTTAGCTCCTGTAGAGATACTTATGGATGAAGATATGCATAGACTAGAGGAGTACACGTATTATACACAATGTGAAAAAAATAAAATAAAAAAATCAAAGACATTATTGGCTATTGGTCATGCCCGATGTAAAATCTAATTCTAATTAAAATGCTAAGTATATGATTTATCAATATGTAGGATTGTTTTTTATATCCATATTAATTTAAAAAATTATCTCTCTCATCCGTTATATGTCGTTATTTTTTTATATATATTTTAATTTAGTGATATTTCTTATAACCGCGCGAAGCGCGGAAATTTCACTAGTTTGGAATATATTTTCAAGTCTCAACTCAGACGTTTTATGAATTAATTAGTTCAGAATATAATAAGTAACACAATTAATTAGTTAGGAATACAAAAAGAATCACAAGTTTAAAAGTGTATCAGATACATTGTATATTGTAATCTAGTGTTGTTACATTTTTATACATCAATAACCAAGAGATAATGTACTTTTAAAGGGCAAAAATGATGGGCAAAACTGACACTCAGTATGAAATGGGTAAATTTGTAAATTGAATTTGACTTAGGATGTTTACACTTATAATATATTATTATTAGTAGTAGTAGTTGAGCTTAACTGAAGAAGCAGGGATTCATATATATATAAGGGATACCAACTTATTTTGGGATTGAAACGTAATTACTATTATTGTTGTTATTGTTATTTTTTTTTTAAATAGGAAGCTAAATCAATTAATTTTGTGCATCAATTTCAAATGAAATGATATATTACTATTTCTCTAATTGATTTGGTTTGCTTTGCTTTTCTATTTTACAACAAAATGCCGAGTTTGAGAGAACACAAATGTAAAGCATGGCCATTGAGCAAAGACGGCCACAAAGAGATGAAAACCCTGAGATCAAAGCTTTGGCTATTGGAAAATAAAACAGCAGTTGTCTTAATACACAATCTTCAACAATTTTCATTTGTGTCAAGATCTTCAGCAAGGTAATCTGTTTGTTTTCATCTTGCCATTTATTTTAATTTACTCTGAATTGATGAATTATGAATATGCTTTCCCTTGTTTCATTGATAACTTGCTTGATATTTGGTTCTTTAATTACTCCATTCTCCCTCGTTTCTTTTTTCTTTTTTCTTTTTAAAAAAAAAGAAAGAATCTGCCTTTGTTAGCGTTTTAAGTTGAGAATAAAAGCACTCTTAATGCTAAGGCTAGTCTTGTTTGACGATACCAAAATATATACATCACTCTTCCAAAAAATACAAGTCTTGATATCAAAGAAATATATATAAAACTTGGAGCTTCCCCATAAACAAAAAAAAAAAAAAAGCATGCGCGGGGTCCGGGAAAGGCCGGACCACAAGGGTCTATTGTAAGCAGGCTTATCCCGCATTTTTTGCAAGAGGCTATTTCCACGGCTCGAACCTTAAAATGTTTGAAAGTCTTATTTAATTTCAAGGGAGAATTTGTGAGACAAGGGTTAGCTTGCCACTTGTATTTGCCTCTTTGTGAGGTTATTCTCTCGATCTTTTGTACCTTCTTTTATATACTGGATTGTTAATCTCCGCCATTGAACGTAGGTCAATTGGTCAAACCACGTTAAATATTTGTGTTTCTTTTGGTATATTTCTCTCTTTGTATATATGCATGGATGCTCCAACTCAAAAATTGCGAGCATACTCCATTGGCTTTCGAAAATGGCTGACCACATCAGACATAGAGCAGACGAAGTGGCTGAATGGTTACATTCTGTCATTGATATACGTGACCCTCCTCCTAGTACAACATCAGTGAATTCAGAGAATTACAAAATAAGATCAATTCCCTCTACGCTTCTTGAGAATACTAGTGCAGAAGATTATGCCAAGTACTATGAGCCCTATGTGGTTTCCATTGGTCCAATACACCATGGAAAACCTCATCTTGACGACATGGAGAAGTTCAAACGGGAAGTAGTGAGGGAAACGGTTGGATGTGTAGGCATACCCATTGCGGAAGTGTATGCAGCTGTTGAAAAGGACTTGCTCAGCGCTCGGAATTGTTACTCTCCTAGTCCTTCCGAATGTTATGCTGACGACCGTGACTGGTGTCTGATGCTGTTCCTCGACGGCTGCTTTATTATTGGATTTCTCATACACCGCGACAGCATGAATATGAAGAAACATGATAGAGATTTGGTGTGTCGTGACCTTTTATTGTTCGAAAATCAATTGCCTTTCCAGATTCTACATGTGTTAGCACGCGCATTTGCATTTACTGAGGATCATTTGCTAGACCTTACCGGGCTTTTCCTCTTTAACCATTTGTTAACAATGTCCCCTTATACTACAGTTCCTAGTTATATAGAGTACGATAATGTTAGATTCCTCACACACCACACTCCAGCTCCTGCTCATCTTCTTCAAAATTTTAGAGACCTATGGATTCCTTCTAATTTTAGAGAAGATGGCGATGAAGAAGAAAAAAAAGAAGATGGTGCTATTTGTGAACCTTTATCAGTCACGGAGCTGAAGAAAATGGGTATTCGTTGCAGTTCAAACAACCAACAAAATATTAGCTTATCACTCATCCAGCTTAAATCATTTGTGTTATCAGGAACATTGTTCCTTCCTGAACTAACCATCCACGAATGGACCAAGACCCTGTTATTAAACTTAGTCGCTTTTGAATTTTTATGCAGCGAACAAGATAAAACCATAGGGGTCTGGTCTTACTTGAATCTCATGAATATGTTGATTCAAGGAGAGGAAGATGTTAAGGAGCTGCGAGCCAGGGGCATACTCCAGCTCAAATCCGTTAGTAATGACCAAGAAGTAGTTGACCTCTTGAGATATATAACAGCACGTGGAGTACCTAATCATCGAGCTTACGGGCATGTCAAACGATATATTTTTACTTACTCCAAAAGTAAAATGTTCCCTCTGCGAGTTCTCTTTTATCACATCACTTTGCTCATATTCTATCACATCACTTTGCTCATATTCTATCTGTGCATTAGAGGGACTCTGCAAATTGAGGAGCTCCTAAGTCAAGCTCTTGTTTCATTATGCAGTTCATAAACCAGTCACTGCTGAAAGTCCATATTCCCTTCTTCACCGCTGACAGTGCTTCATCCATGTCTTCTTCACATGCAACGAATATCGTTTTAGAATAGTCTTTCACTTGATCTAGTCCATGTATAACCTAAGAATTTGGTAAGAAATGACATCAAATAATGCAGGGAAAAAATGACATGCTCCATCTCCTTATTTTCAATTATTTCCATATTGGTCATTTTTTCAAGAGCGGAGAAAGTATAAGTTTACTCCCCTTAGTTGGCCTACCTAGTGCAAATCAATCGAGCCAGTAGATTTTAGAAAATAGATGGTAAAAGAAAAGGAGAGAAAGTGCAAGTTTGACATGATTTTGGAAAAATATTAACGGCATTATGAATATTCTAAAAATTTCTTGCTCATGAAGTAAATATTAACTCACATTTCCTCCTGCAGATTTTACAATGGCTGATAAGGTACCAACTGGAGGATGAACATGAGCTGCAAGACATATGTCATACCCCTTGAGCAGAGCTTGGGGGTATGTTTTTGCTCTAAGAACTGCCCCTTTAAGCTTAGTTCTGTACTTCAGTTCGTAGTCTTCATCCCTCAAAATAAATGGCATTTCATCTGAAAAAATCAACAGGGACCGATTAACAAGTGTCAATAGTCCAATTAAGGTCAAACTTAACAGTTTTTACCCACCTATAAATTTGCCAGTCCGGACACTTTCTTTCAACCAACTTGGTGCCAGTATCCAAGCTCTGATCGCATTTCCACAAGACCAAAAACAAGAACACATGCAATCAAATTCTAGAGTCTAGCTACTTACAAGAATTTAGGTTACAAATACAAGAGATAGAAGTGAATGGACGATGTAGTGTCTATATGTTTAGAAAAATAAGACAGTACATATAACGTTCAAAAAAAATCAAACGGACATTTGGATAGTATCTTAACTTTTTGGCACTATGCTGCATTATTTCCAGCAATGACAATCCTACATATTTTACTAAAAGCACAACAACCAAAATCATCCTATCAAAAATTTAAATGGATGCAGACCTAGATTTTCACATAGGTTTGGAGCATTTTATGTACATTTTGCATAAAATGTTCCCTAATCTCTTATTTGCACGTGCTGCGACAATTTTGCACACTCTTAAGATGTCCATCTCGTAGAAACTATCCTTTTTAGAAAGGAAAGCTTAAAGTAGCCTTAAGAAAGAAAATGCTCATCTCTTAACCTGAAATAAACATAAGATGTAAACTTTAGGACAACTGAGTCTTGCTCAGTTGGTAAAAGCACCTCCACCTACGACCGTTAGGTCTTGGGTTCGAGTCACCATGAAGGGGAAGTGTGGATACTCCTAATTTGAGAGGGGTTTAAAAAAAAAAAAGATGTAAACTCTAGTAATTGTATTCAGGAAATAAGCAGAGAAAACAAAAGGACAGACTATTGAAAAACAAAAACTGAATTTACATTGTAGGTGACATGACATGACACGTGGACTGGTCAAAACACAATAAATAACCAAGAGGCACGGGCGACAACAAATAAGGGAAAAAGAAAGCAACATAGGTGTGGACCGTTACTAAAATAGGTACGAGTCTCGTACCTATTCGAGTCATTTAAAGACCGAAGATCGGAAGAAGTTGAAGATACGAATCTGATGACGTAAAAGAGTCTAAATACAGCATTAAATATCAAATACGTTAGAATATTTGAATTAAATAGAAATAATTGTGTAACGTTTCTTTTAATGTCATTTATTGCTCATAATTGCCTCATTAAGACAAAGACATTACATCTTCTCCTAGAATCAACTATAAAAGGAGAAGGACTCAACATCTGTAGAGACACGAAATACTATTGAGATCTTACTGAAATACAAAACTATTTACCATCATTCTCAAAAACATTTTATTTTCGTCTCCTGATTATCAGTAACCCGAATTTCTTTTTAGCTTTGACCAAAGACTCAGATTTTTGGTTAAACAAATTGGTTCCGTTACCGGGAATCTGATAATCTTTTCTTTTAAGTTATATCTAATCCATTGTTATCACCATGTCAAACAACAACACCGACAATAACAGTAATAACACATTGGGAAACCATAAAAATCAAATCCATCAAAATCAAGGTGACGTGGTTCCCTCCCCTCCAGATTCACCACGTCAATCTCGTGAAGGCACTCCTGTTACTGCATCCCGTGCTGATCAACGAGAACAATCTGAACACTTTGAAGGAGGTACAAATGAAGCTTTACAAAAGCTAATTGATGCACATGTCGGCAAAGCTCTTTAGGCTCTAGCTAGTCGATTGCCTGCTACACCACCCATACCAACTCCTAATAATAATACATTGGAGAATCCCCGTTCTGGTCTGGTTAATTCTGGAAATGGAGGAACCACCAGTGAACCACAGGAAGGGGGACCAGGTAATTCAAATAATTCCTATTTGCAAAATTTAGTACTAACCTTGCAGAAACAGATTAAGGAACAAAATGAGCGTATTGAGCAAATCCCTGGAGTTCCGCCTGTAATAAAAGGAGTAGACATGGACAAATACTCACAACAACCTTGGAAGCCAAGTGCTGCTCCCCTTCNACTTCCAATTCCGAAAAAGTTCAAAATGCCTGACATCCCGAAATATGTGGTACTACAGACCCACGTGACTGCGTTACAACAGGCGTGAAAGGCAACGACTTGACCAAACAAGAAATTGAATCAGTACTGGTCAAGA